GGATGTGCTGGGTTTTTGAACAGAGCGGAGTCCTCCGATCGAGGAGGTGATAAATTCAGGTGTGGTTCCACGTTTTGTTGAATTTCTTACGAGGGAAGATTTTCCTCAACTTCAGGTATTGATTCTGGTCGATTATGGCTATTCTAGTAAGATCATTAGTTTGAACTTTATAAAGACTAATGTTGATACATTGATAATGCTTTAGTTTGAGGCTGCTTGGGCTCTTACAAATATTGCATCTGGAACCTCGGAAAATACAAAGGTTGTTATTGATTATGGTGCTGTTCCGATATTTGTTAAGCTTCTTGCTTCTCCGAGTGACGATGTTCGGGAGCAGGTATGTTTCAAACTTTGACTTATTGCATGGTTTAGTTTCTGACATGCAGCAGGAAAAGGAACTTTTTGTTTGCAATTTCAAGATACTTTAACTGATGCATGACAACAATAACAGAGATCCTAAAACTCTGTAATAATGATTTTTCAATTTGTAGGCTGTGTGGGCATTAGGGAATGTTGCTGGGGATTCACCAAGGTGCCGTGATCTTGTCCTCAGCCATGGAGCTCTGATGCCTCTGCTAGCTCAGCTGAATGAGCATGCAAAGCTGTCTATGCTGAGAAATGCGACATGGACACTGTCAAACTTCTGCAGAGGCAAGCCACAGCCTCCATTTGAGCAGGTTTTCATTTTTTTTTTTCTGTGCACTTTTTTTTTTCAAGCTTTCATTTGTTTCTTCTTTCTTATGGCAAATATTATGGTTTATAGCCTTTTGAATCCTATGGCAGGTGAGGCCAGCTCTTCCAGCTCTTGAACGTCTTGTACATTCCAATGATGAAGAAGTCCTGACTGATGCCTGCTGGGCACTCTCTTACCTTTCTGATGGTACAAATGACAAAATTCAAGCTGTCATTGAAGCAGGGGTTTGCCCCCGACTTGTGGAGCTCCTGCTGTGAGTAGAAGGATTGTTTGTCCCTTTTCTGATGCATTCTCTCTTTAAATTTCTGTATGTAGATCTCCTAACTGTTATTTATGTGTTTGTTTTAGTCACCCATCTCCTTCAGTGCTCATTCCCGCTCTTCGTACAGTTGGAAATATTGTGACAGGAGATGATATGCAGACTCAGGTAATAACTCATCAATGGTGTTCATATCCTAACTATTCTCTTGAAATTCCTTTTCTTAATTATTTAGTTCTGCGTCTTTAGGTCAGTGAGACTTCAGTGATATTGCCATCCACAATTGTTTCATTCTAGTGGTTGCTTGTATATTATGTGGTGAAGATGATTACAATGCCTCTGTAGAATTTAGTTTGAAGGGGACTTTCTGGAACTGTTTCTTAGATGTTTAGGCTTGTCATACTAGAAGATATGATTATGAATGAGGGAAGCTTTTGTGATCTTTCTACATTTGAGCTATCATTTTGTTTGGTTAGAATTCTGTTCTTGTTTTCCTATTTGTATTTTCCTTTTGATCTATTGGGTTTTTTGTCCCTACAGTGTATTATCAACCATGGCGCCCTACCATGTCTTTTGAGCCTGTTGACTCATAACCATAAAAAGAGCATTAAGAAAGAAGCTTGTTGGACCATTTCGAACATTACAGCTGGAAACAAGGAGCAGATCCAGGTGTGTAGATCTTATGCAAGTTTTTGCCTCAAGCTTGATCATATGATCTTCTGAGTGAAATGAATAGTAGTTCTTAACATACTAATACAACTGAAATTTTATTGCACATGACTTGCATCCATCAAAACATAGAATCGTCATTCAGCATCTAAACAGATTTTATAGTGGACCATTGATTTCTTTTGTGAAACAAATATTACTTCTCAACATACTGATGCAATTCAAATTTCAGTTTACATGACCTAAACGTATTGTTTTCATTCAGCATTTAACAGATTTGCTTCGTATTTCTTTTTGGTATATTTTTTTTCTGTTTTGTTTTTTTTCCCTTCCTGTGTTGGGGATGGGATTGTTGTGATGTTTCAGTTTTCTAAATGATTATCTGACTAGAAGTTTAAATATATTATGAAAATTTACAGGCTGTAATTGATGCTGGTATAATTGGTCCCCTGGTCAACCTACTTCAGAATGCTGAGTTTGATATAAAGAAAGAAGCTGCATGGGCTATTTCAAATGCTACCTCCGGTGGTGCGCATGAGCAAATCAAGTATGTTATTTACTATAATTATTTTGATAAGTTTCATCTTTTGTTTTCTTGTTTCTTGTTTATGAGAAGTGATCATAAAATCCCTTCTCCTTTTGGGCAAATAGGTACCTAGTCAGTCAGGGGTGCATAAAACCATTGTGTGATCTCCTTGTGTGCCCAGACCCACGAATCATAACTGTTTGTCTAGAAGGATTAGAGAATATTCTGAAGATTGGTGAGGCTGAGAAGGCTGCAGGTGCATCTGGAGATGTTAATGTTTATGGTCAGTTGATAGAAGATGCTGAGGGATTAGAGAAGATTGAAAATCTGCAGAGTCATGACAACAATGAAATATATGAGAAGGCTGTTAAAATTCTTGAGACTTATTGGTTGGAAGAGGAGGATGAAGCTTTACCTCCAGGTGATGGCACCCAGCAAGGTTTCCAGTTTGGAGGGAATGAAGTTCCTGTTCCATCTGGTGGATTCAACTTTAGTTGAAGGTTTGCATGCCCTTTATGTAAAAGTTCTTCAGTTACTTTCTTGTGTATGCATTTTGTCTCCTGTAAGTTGGATTTTAACACTCATATTTCACAGGGATCTATTGGATGGAGAAAATTATGCCTGGGGTTCCAATTTGCAAGGTATATGTTGATGGTGAAGTGTGGGGTCAGGTCTTGTCGGGTCAAGGTGCTTGATGTGCCTGGTCTTAGTCTGTCCAGTGTCAATTATGGTCAGAGGTGCCTGCATGGGTCTGTTTATGCTATATGGTTTCCAAATAAGGTGGTGGGTGGACACTTGTGATTGGACAAGTTTTGCGATCAGCAATGTATCTGGCTTATTCCTGTTATGTGGAATTGCTAACTGGTAGAATCAATGCTATGGGAAATGTCCAGTAGGTGATGCATAAACAGGACCCATAGACGGGTTGCTAGTAAGGGTTGCTAGAGTGCGGGATTAGTCTTCTGTTGTGTCAGAGTTGTACTAGTAGTTTTTATGCCGTCATTTTTTTTTCCTTTTTGGGTCTTCCAGCATGAGTACAGTATTGATTGTTATGTTGATAAACCTTATTTTCTAGTATTTTGGAAGAATGAATTTATTCAGTCTACAAGTGTTATGCTAAACTATACATCTTCTTCGGTTATTAATTTCACATTAGTATCATTTACATCTTTCTCATCGATTTGGCTCCTCTTCTATATTAGGTGAAAATAAGATGTTATGCATCCTTGAAAGGGTCAAAATTAGGGCAAGATCAATGGAATGATCTCAATTTGCTGCCTCACATCATGCCCTTTCAGGTAAGTCATTGAGTCTCTTCCAGACAACTGATAATTCTGTCTTAAAACTTTTTGCTGCAAGCGTGATCTTTTGAAACAAGAAGTGCCTTTCTTCGAATGGGCTAATTTTTGCCTGAGCTAACGTAGATCGTCCTCAAGAAAGGAAATGTCCAACAGAAATGGAATCCCCTAGTAATTGGTAACGAAACAACAATATATGGAGGTAGCATGTCTGTCTGCTTCGAGTGCTGTTTTTTCTCCATAGATGGATAGTGACTGTTTCCTCATAACAGCATCAATAGGTCCAACCTGACTGGATATTAGTAAAATTCGAATTTTATTATTCTCTTCTCCTATGATCTTATCCCCCGTCGCTATGATCCCGTTGGCTGGTAAAAAAACCGCATTCGCCCTCATTTTTCACAGTAAATTTTTTGTTCTTTAGAAATTAGAAACAGGTAGTAACTTCTAAATTCTGCTTGAACCTTCTGGTATTTTATTGCTTTTACCTTCTCGTGATTTATTATAAGGAATGAGTGGTCACGAGTCATGACGGGGAAAGTTCAAATAAAATGAACTTAAGTGGCGATCCCTCTGTCGGCAAGGGAGGGTTCGTATATTTTGTTAACCTAGGTTTAATCCTTTAAAATGGTATATGATGTTAACACTTTTTATGAATTTTCATTGTGGGCTTCGATTCTCTATCTCTTATTTTAGTTTTATATAATAAGAGATAATTCATATTTTCTATCTACTTCATTCATACAGATTAAGTTTAGGATTTCTTGCTTCACTTGAAAGGGAGATTTTTATTAAACCGTTTAGGCCATTAGTTCTTTGATTTATTGGTAAACAATAATTAATAATCAAATTATTAATAACAAAATAGAAAACCAAAAATAGTCTGTAAAATTAAAGTGAAAAATTACAGTGGCTTGTTAGCTTTATCCATCTGGAAAGTGTTGTTGTTGCCTTTTGGATGGTGATGAAATTGCTGGAAGCGGTCCCTTTGTTGTGTGGTGTTGAGGACAAAAAGGATGGATGGTGGTCTCCTGATCTTTCATTTTCCTCCTCACTATCACAATAAATATGATAATATTTTCTGGGTTATTGTCCTTTCATTTCAATTCCTATCTCTTAACACATCCTAATCTTCATCCCGCTCATAATTCCTTTTGCCCTCTTGCACCACAAGGGATGAACTCTTGTATGTCTCCTCTCCATCATCTTCATTCAATTCCACGGCTTTCTTGACCCACTCAACAAATTCTTTGATCATTTGTCCAAGTGGAGGTAATCCCTTCCTTGTAAGGGCCAGGGCAAAATCGTTACGTCCAAAAATCATTATGGACGATAATGTGGATCCGAACTCTATTAGTTTGTTTAGTTTTTGAAAAAGAAAAAGGGATGGTTCAACTAATTAAATGACATCGTTGAGTTAATAAAATAATTTAATTTATTACAATAACTTTTCCCTCTCTCTGCTTCCTTCCTCTCCTTCATACTAAACTAACTATAACATAAATAAATAGGGTTGAATATAGAGCATATTAAACAAGAATTAGAGAATTTCTTTAAAATCAATATAATTAATTCGATACATATTTTTTCACATGGCTTACAATTTTGGGGTAGAGGATTCAAACTCAAATCACCGATGTGTGATAGTGCACCCTCTAAAGTAGTTAAGTTGATAGCTCAGGAGTCGTGCTTTTCCTTCATTAAGTAAATGGTAAATTTGTAATATTGTCAATTAAGAACTAACTCTTCAACCATTCTGTTCAAAGTCCCAACCCTTAGAATGCAACGACAGTTACCAAGGGGGAAAAGAAAGAGATCTTGTGTTAATAGGTTTATGACAAAAATGTCTTATGCCCTTTTGGCTCCTTAGAAGCAGTCAAAGTCCAACTTAGACAAGGTACCACGAACCACGTTCCAAGTCGAGATTTATCACAAGACATTTTTAGCTAATATCTTTAACGTCATAAAAGAATGTCTCAGCAATAAAAAAAAAATCAAAAAATTAAACTTTTAATAAAGGTTTTACGTTCAAATTATTATAAAATAACAGAAAATATTATAAAATAACAAAATTTTTGTATTGAACTTCTTTTTCTATCATGTATCTATCATACAAACTTATAAGAGTATATATAAGTTAAGGAAAATGTGAGGATTACATTAGTTTTCAAATAAGACCAATTGGAGTTTATGAATAACCCCTAAGTCTAGAGCAAATTGGAATTATGTATGGATCTAGATGGAAATGATATTACAACATGGAAAATAGAAGGTGAAGGCGAAAGTGACGGTGAAAAACGTTCACCGATAAAGGAATCCATAATAGAAACTTCGAAGTTATTTATTTTGCAGTTTAGATATTATTGGACTGTAAAATGAAATTATTGAATGGAGCTTAAAGGGGCAACTCTTAATATTAAGGGTTTATTCTTATTTAATAGTTTAATTTATGTATTTCAGTATAATTTGAATTATATAATACTTTTTTAATTTGAAAATTAATTGCTGATATTTTTTGTATGAGATTTACTTTTAAGGAGGCTTATTATCTAAGATAGAAGGGTATATATGATTTGTGAATAATATGGGAGGAAATTTTGGGGGTGTTTGGTTGGGGGAAAATTTCTCCCTCTAAAGCTTTTTAGTAAATTTTCCTTCATAAAGTCGTAAGGTTATTTATGTATTTTACATTAATATTTCAACAAAAGAATGGCAAAACTAATATTTTTAATTTATATTTTTTTAATACAATTTTTAACCTGTAAATTTTTTTCCTCATATATTTTTTGAAGGAAAAAGTTTTCCCTTAATTTTTTTCTATATAAAACTTATTTAGATAATTTTTTATCAACTTTTTTTATACTAATTTTTTACCAAATACAAAAAAATTGATAACTCAACAAAATTACCAAAAAACTTATTAATTTTTAATACAATACTTTTCTATTTACATTTTTAATAAAATTACTTTCTAACCGAATATTCTCTGAGAGAAAATGTAGAAATTTTGAACTACATTGGGGAATTGAAGTATCAAAATCCCAAGATAAAAAAAAAAAAAAATCAAAATCCCAAAAGTGTGTACCACCCAGTTGGCTAATCAAACGGAGCATATGTCAGATTCAATCTGATCACATGCACAGATAAGTGTTAGCTGCAGCATCTTATCATCCCCTCTGTCAACCTCCATGATTTTCCTTTTTAAATTTAATTTTCCCACGAAACAAACACACATCATCAAAATCTTAGAGCCAAATCCAAAACCCCACTCATTGGCGCCCTTTATTTTTTTGTTCATTTTCAGATTCCTCCCTCCTCTAATCTCCATCCCTTTCCCCCCCTTCTTTTTCCCTTTTGGGGTTTTGGCGGGTGGCATTTTGCAGTAAAAAGTCTCTCTTTTAGGGGCCTTTCTGTCTTTTCCCACCATCAGCACTAGGGTTTCGAGTCTCTTTTAAATAGGGATTTTTTTAGATCTGCTTCGTGCGGTTTGGCTATGTCGGTTTGATTCCCTTCTCTCTCTTTCTCTCTCAATTTCTAGCGCTGTCATACACAGTCTCTCTAGCACACACTATCCCTTCCTCCCTCCCTCTCTCGTCGTGCATGTCGGTTCCCTTTTTAGGTTAAGCCAAAATTTTGATTCTCTCATTTCATTTCTTCTGCTGCTGCGGTTGTTCCCATCTCTCTCTCTCTCTATCCCTCTGTTTCATTCTGCATCATTTGATTTGTCTCAAGTTTAGGAGATCGCTTAAAGTTGTGCTTTTTCTTCTGATTTCTCCCTTTCCGTCTCTGGGTTTTCGTTGTCTCGATCTGTTGTGGGTTCAAGTTTGTTAGATCTTTTTATATCCTATTGGGTTCCCTCTGTTTCTCTCGGATAGGAATCTGGGGTTGTGTGCTAGATAGAATCGGATCAGTGGGTTCGTATCACTACCCCACTTTGAGCTTTCCATTTGTTTCTTATCCCGGATCCTTTCAGATCTTTGAATTTGGTGGTAAAAATGTTGGATCAGAGTGAGAAAGTGAGTGATCGTGGCTCTTTGTCTCTCGATTCGATTCTTCTTTTGGCTTCAATTTGTAATATGGGTTTTGCTTTGCTTGTGTAGGGATTGGATTCTGAAGATCGGAACAAGAAATCCTCAAATGGGTTTAGCCCCAAAGAAACCCAAAATCAAGGTGGTGAAACGAAGAAGACCTGCGCTGATTGTGGTACCTCCAAAACCCCTCTCTGGAGAGGTGGTCCGGCAGGCCCCAAGGTGATTCTTTTTTTTTTTTTAATTTGATTTGATAAGTATGAATGATTTTAGACATGGGTAGGTGGTTTATGGTGTGTGATCTGATCTTTTTGTTCTGATGTTTTCAGTCACTATGTAATGCATGTGGGATTCGAAGCAGGAAGAAGAGAAGGGCGATCTTGGGGATAAACAAAGAAGACAAAAAATCAAAAAAAGTAAGCAGCAGTAATAGTAGTTCTTCAAGTAGTGGAAATAACGGTAAAATAGGTGACAATCTGAAGCAGAAATTGTTGGCTTTCGGGAGAGATGTTTTGATGCCGAGATCAACGGTGGGGAAGAAGCAGAGGAGGAAGTTGGGAGAAGAAGAGCAAGCAGCTTTTTTGCTCATGGCTTTGTCCTGTGGCTCTGTTTTCGCCTAATATTTTTTGTCAAAAGATTAATAATACTATGAACCCTCAGTGCTTATCTAACCATTTTCCAGTGTAATCTCTGTGATTTTCCAATGTTCTTTGGCAATGATTTGTAGTGTTAACTGACTTGTTTCAGAGATGAATCGAAGAAGAAATTGTAAGAAGTCGTGATTTAATTCTATTTTTCCTAACCATTGCAGTACTTGAAATTTTTGCCTCTTTATCTTTTACAAGTCGTCTTGGTGGGTACGTGGGTGTGTGGTGTGTTTATATCAAGCAGCCGAAAAGGGAAAATTCCCAATTTCATAACCAGGTTGAAACTAAAGTAAATTTGGGTACTTGAATTGTTTTGGTAAGTTTAGAGTACTTGATGAAACCACTAAAAAGGTGGGAGATTTGAAATGAAATCCCTAAAAGTTGTGTTTTTTCTTCGGCGCCAAAGCATAAAATATTGGCTCACTTTTGGTTGGTTTCAAATTCTATTTGCTCACTTTAACTGGTGCAAAGGAATTGATGAATAGTCGAAGAAATGTTTGTTTGCTTTGACTAACATTTTGGGTATTCATTAAATGGTCCACACCATGGCTCAAATTGGGTTCTAAATTTCTAATAGTTGGGGTTGACTGAATGTGTTCCCATTTTCTAGTCCCTTCATAATTTGAACATGATATTCAAGGATAAAATGAGTGGGTTCAAGCTCGATCTTGAACTTGATAAAAGTTTACAAGTAGCTCGATAATCTTAGTAAATTAATAACTTATACACATTAATATTATGCATGTGTAAAGAGATATTTAACCTCGATTCATAAATAAGTCAAGTTGGAACTCAAGCCTTCCAACATTAAAGGGACTCGAGTACACTTTAGTTAGTTCTTGAGTCGGTTCATTTATTTGTTGTAGTTGCAATATTGATCAATGGCTGCTATGCAAAGCGTCAATCTCTGTTGTGATCATTAATGAGTTGACTTGAGCAAAAGGAAGACTTGGGCTTATCCATAAATGGAAGAATAATGATAGTAGCCACTGTGAGTGATGATATGACTACACAATTATTCAACACATAAAATATTAGACATATATTTAGTTTGCTTTATTTTATTTGTTTTAAATTATTAAGATAATTGCACTTAATCTTAGAGGTCCAATGACATTAGACATTGAATAGGTCCACCTCCCTCCGAAACCCACCTCCATGTCAAAATGTTAAAAAAAAAAAATTATTAATATAATTAAAAATATCAATTTATAAATTAATTTTAAATTATTAAATAATAAATATTAACTATCTTACTTACTATCAAATACATTTATATTATTTTTATATGGTCTTAACAATTTTGTGTAATTCTAACCAACGCCAGCCACTATCAGCAGTGAAAGTGAAACCCTTTTCAATAAAAATGGTACTGCATGTCATGTAAAAACTCTTCTCTGGATCCTACCTTTAAGCTGCTGGATTTATGTAAGAAAAAGAAAAGAAGACAGAATTTGAATCTTTATCTCTATAAGGGCAGAGGCCCTACTGGACGTTAGCTCAATCAGTTTCCTCAATCAGCTTCCTCAATCAGCTTCCTTAAAGGTTAAAGCTGACAAAACTAAAGTGATTGCTCACGCTTAAGGGGCACTGTTAGATGTCATGACTCATGTGATTCATACGCCTTTCCTTTGTGGGAAATCCATTATAAATAGCACCAATTAAGGATATATAGCGAAGGTGGGATGGACCCTCGTCTTCAATAAGCTTCTTATTGAATTGAAAGGGTGGAATAAAGAGAAAAGAAATGGTTATATTAAGTAGTTCAATAATATTTTTTTTTTAAGTGAAACAAGAAATTTTAAATTCATGTAGCATAAGAAATAAGTAAAGTGGTTAAAAGATAAAAAAAAATTTATCTCTAATGTGTAAAAAATAAAAAAATTTATCTTTTATTATATAGTCAAGAATAATATATATAATAATGGGTTAGCTCCTAATTAGTAAGAGGAAAAAAGTATTCCAACATAATTTTAGCATGTTTTACAATTTAAATTATGTTAAATTATAAAATATTAACTATTAAATGGAGAGTCCTCCCTCAATATTAAGTCTTCCTCTTAATGCAATAGCTAGTGTTTTCGAACATTTCTTTTTCTACCTAAAATTTGGTAAAAATATTTAGTGCAGAAGATCTTAGGACCAAATAAGCCCGCAGCCACCCTTACCCAGCCTCTCTTTTACAGTAAAAGCTTACAACTGTAGGCTACCCTCGTTTCTATGCCTATTCTGCTTCCATTTGCATATGGGAACCACCCTCACCTTAATGTAATTCCTCTAGAACTTGTTAACAAGTACTAACATGGGTTTGAATCAAACCTTTAAATCTAATGGTTAGTCTTTAAGTTTTAGTGCTTAGGTTTATTTGGTCATAAATTTGACTTTCACCATCCACTTGAAAAGTATCTCCCATTCCCCAAAATTCCCCCATGGTAAAAAAAAAAAAAACTAAGATGGGTTCACCCTTTAAGCTCCACTAAGCTGTTAATCTAAGTCCAGCTTTAGCATAGGGCTCTTGGCTGTCTCATCAGGATTCAGAGCCCACCCCCACCCCCCCCCCCCCCAACCCTTTTCCCTTTCAGTTGATACAGGATAGAGTCTCAGGCTGTGTTTGGTTGCTAGCAGATTCGACTAAACACTGAACAAAATGCCATCAACTTTTCCAAAATTCTTTTGTCGGGTTTCTATAACATACCAAACAGGCCATTATGTCCCATTCAGTGTCGATCCTAATGGTCTTTCGGGTCCTGAACTTTCCATCAAGGTCGACAGAAATAAAGGCCCACAATGGGTTCACTATTAAAGGCCCAATTCGGTTGTTAATGCAAATCAAAATTTAAAGGACGTGGACCAGTTTTCTTATCTTGACAA